TTGCTTGAAACGAAAAAGATTTTAACTAACACTTTTGGACTATATTTGGGTCGCCCCTGGCTGCGTTAATGCAAGACCCAGTGGAGAAAGCAGAACCAGCTCAGGAAGTGAGCATTAATCAGAGGCCCTGATCAATGGGGTCATGGTCACTCCCTCCCTAGCTTCCAACATGGCCAGACAGGAGGACAGGGCAGTGATGGTCCTGTCAGGAGGTGGAGTTCTGGGGAACAGAGAGGCACTGAGATGTCACTCTCACAGGGGAGCAGGGACGTTAGTTTATTTCCACCTGGTGAGTGGCCTCTGCCTCTGTCATTGGCTAGAAAGAGAATGAGCTACCTGGACTCTGGGTGGATGCACATCCGAAGCAGCACTCCAGGGGTACAAGAGTGTCTGGAGTGGTGGAGATCCGCATGCTAGAAAAAAGGGATAAAGGACAGTATGGAATAACCTGACTTCCTATTCTCCCCTTGTTTCCAGAGGCAGTGTGGTACAGAGAAGGGACACTGCTTTGTCGCCAGACAGGTCTGTCCTTGGCTCACAACACTGCCATCAATAAGAAAAATACCAAGAAGAAGAAAAGCAGTGGGAACAGCTAACATTTGTTGATCATTTACTATGGGACAGGCACATTACATCCTCACAACAGTCTCATTTTACAGATAAGAACACCAAAGCATAGAGAAGCTTCACAGATTATCCAAGGTCAATCAAGCTCTTAAATGTCAAAGGAGGCATCCAAACCCCAATACTTGACTGCAGAACATACTGGTAGGCACTCCCTTACACTGTATATTCACCAGATATCTGGCAAAGAATTAACATCTCTGATCTCAGAATCCTTACCTGTAAAATATCGGCTGTAGATCCTTCATTGCAGGTTGTTACGAAAGCAAAACAAAAATCACAGAAAGCACCTGACATTTTTTAGCTGTTCAACAATTGTTGCCATCATCATCATCATCATCATCATCATCAATACTATCTGAAGAGCCAGTAACTGAGAGATGACCATGGTGGCAGTTATGTTATCACTTTGAATATAATCAATATCATAATTTTGACATTTAACAATTTCTTATGGGGTTCACCTGACAGAGAATTTACTCCTAATCTTTTCATCAAAGCCCCTCAGATCTCCAGCAATCTACCATCCATCTAGAGCAACAGGATTTCAAATCACCATTCCATTCATGGAACATCCTCTTATCTGGAATTGCCAAAAAGATGAATTTTCCCATCAAGAATACATCTACTGTTTTGTGTGTTCACCAAGATTACACCTCATGCCATTATGTCTACATGTAAAACTAGTTTGTTCTATGCTCTATCCTCCTCTCCCTGTCTATACTTATAACCAGTTTGAACCATTCCTTCTTCCCCTGGCCCCATTCTGCCTAAACATATAAGCAGCCTTTCTCTTTAGTCTGGATTGGTCGGCCAGTTCAATCCATCAGACTGATTTTCTGGTCTGTACCAACTAACAACATTGACTCAACAATCAAGAGAAGTTGAATTGGTCGTGCCTTTGACAGTCCATGAAGCTTCTGCATTGCCTTTTTCTTACCCCAGTACCTGGCAGAAAAATCTAGCACATGATGGGTGCCCAGTGTCTGAGGGTTAAACAGCCAATGTTTATCCCCATCCTGTTTTCCTGCTTTAGAAATGCTGCTCCCTGGATCAGACATTGGTTGCAAAAACGTCCACAAAGGTAACGAGCGCCTTTGAAGTAGACAGAGTCAGCTAACTCCCCTAAGAATACTCAAGAGAGGATCCTGACCAATTCATCAGCAGCTTTGAAACTTGAAGTTCTCAATTCACGTTGCAAAATGAATCAAGGCAGGTCACTGACTCTCACAGGCCTCCTTCTGTGTCTGCTCCTGCACAACTTTCTGCTTCTTGAACAGCCTCAAGGAAATATCTAGAGCCTCCTGATCAATTCCAAGGGAGCAGAAGGCCCAGCTTCTCAGAATAGGTTCCAGCCCTCACAGCTGCACCCTTTGTGGAGCATAAATGGGAAGCCTGTATCAGCAAGTCCCAGGTCTCTGGGGAAAGAACTGACGCCAGCATCATCAGACTGCAATGCCCCAAATGGTGCCAGCAGCCAGATCTTTTATTCAATATGAACTTTAAGTTGTTCACCAGCTCTGAACCTTTGAGTTCGGTATTTGATCATATCTCAGGGCAAGTGGAGGAAAGTAAATGTCTAGTTTTTCCAAGAAAAAGAATTTTAAAGCACAACACCATCAATGAGGGCAGGGGGACAGGAAAGGAGATGTTATCAGACATGTTTACCTGTTCTCACCAAACCTGACAATTTCTAGGAGAGGCAAAGAGAGATTATTAACCCTTTATGAAATCTTGAATTAATAAAAATGCTGGCTACATCTAAGGCTCTAAAGGAAAGAAGGTGTGCTTCTTAATCAGAGAACCATTAAACTGGTGGCATCCCATTCTGCATGGCATCCCATAGGCATAAAGTGTGCCTGGCATAAAGTAATTACGGTTAAATGTAATTTAACCGTAATTACTTTATGCCAGGCACACTTTATGCCTATGAACAGAGACGGGTAATGCCGTGTCTGCCTAAAGGAGCTCCTGGTGTAATAATGGAAATAGGCATGCAGAGATGTACATGCTCAATACAGTAAGTTAACAGCAGCAAAGGATGTATGGGTGGGGGCAGTGGAAATACAGAAAAAGGACTGCTGGCATGCTTGGTGTTTAAGAAAAACTAAGTGAGGGCAGAGACACCTGAGCTGGATTATAAAGACAGAAAAGGAATTTATGATGGAAAGAAGAGAGAAAGCACTATGGGGACAGAAGGCACCCCAAAGGAGGGCACACTCTAGGCAAGTGGTTTTTCAAACCTTGCTTTAGCTCACACAGAACCTTGATCAAAGGCAAGCAAAGCTACTCTCCATGAAGCAGATGGGGCTCCTTTTTGATGCCATTCTGTCATCCTGCCCTTCCCCACCCCACACTTACACACAGCGGTCCTCACCGGAGTCTCATGGAACCCCAGGGCTATACAAGCAGACTTAGGAAAGCACTGAGCTAAGCAATACAAATTCTGGATTTGCAGTGGTTCAAGCCAGAACTGGGCTGGCCTTTTGAAAGTTATGATACTGTCAGGCCACCCTAGACCCTTTCAGCTTCACTCCACTAGTCAAGTCTGATGACTTCATTCTTTCTTTGGAGGTGTCCAAAATTGTCACCACAGCCACCTCCTGTAAAATCAGTTTGGTGTGTGGGTTTCCATCTCTCTTCACATCTGCGAGTGAAAAAGAATCTATCTTCTCCCTGCATTTTCTCCCACCAAGACCCACAAATTTTATTTAATGAAGAGTCACATAGCATTCAATATACCTGGACAGTGTCCCAAGCCCTTCCCAGATCTAACCAGCACCAAGTAGATACTTATAAGAACTCAAATTAAAAACACCCTTTCAAATCTCAGCTTAATTTATTTTGAATTGTTTCTTGGGAGCTCCTAAACATCTATGCAAACATATTTCCGATAGAGCCAGCTTACCCATTGGCTAGATGTGCCTGGATCCCAGTGTGAACACACTGGGCTCAAACCAGGTTCCTACAGCATGTGTGCAATGCAGTGTAGAGTGATGGAGTCCATGCTTTATAGAGTGATGGAGTCCATGCTTTGTTCTAGGATCCTTATTAATGTCACCCCATATGATTTCAAAATTACGTAGCCGAGCAGGCCTTATTAATCCCATTTTTCTGATAAGGAAAATGAGGTTCCTGTGAGAGCAGTATCTTGCTCAGAGCCACACTGACTCAAAGCCTCTTGAGGTCAGAAACTAAGTCTTATTTCTCATGACCCATCTTCCCAGACCTTGTGCATTGTTCAGTATCTACACAATCTGTGCTCAGCAAATGTCTTTGAATAAAGGAGTAAATAATTGTGAAGACAGCCACGATCCACATCACCAGTGGTGGGGATGCAAACAGGGACACGTGCTTTAAATGAAAGCACTCATCACCGGAAGTTCCACCTCCAGATACTTGGGACATCTGGGGTCTCTCGAACCTGTCTCTTCCCAGCTCTTCCCAGACCACTGACCCCAGTTTACTTCCTATTGCTGTCAGTACAGAAGACAAGATGGTCTACCCTCAAGGTTAGGATAATCACCCCAACACAACCAGAAACTCCATCACATGTGTTTGTGGATATGTTTGTGTGTGTGCACACATTAGAACATTTTACAAGATATACATCAAGAGAACATTAAGCATAGTGTTTTTTGTTTCTTGCTTGGGGGGCAGGAGTGGGTACAGAGTCTCGCTCTATCACCCAGGCTGAAGTGAGTGCAATGCACAATCTCAGCTCTCTGCAACCGCCGCCTCCCGGGTTCAAGTGATCCTCCCACCTCAGCCTCCCAAGTAGCTGGAATTACAGGCACCCACCATCATGCCTGGCTAATCATAATGACTTCTGAGTGAATGGGATGATGCCCAATTTTATATTCTCCCTTTCTATCTTTTCACTTATTTCTTCAATTTAAATTTTTATTGAGGCATGACATGCATATAGAAACCACACATCCCTTAAGTACATAGCTTAATTTTAACAAACTGAACCTATTTGTGAACCCAAATCAAGACCCTACACGTGACCAGCTCCCAAGAGGTACATTTGGGGCTGTCTTTCAGTCCCTAATGCCCACCCAGAGAGTCACCAACACCCTGATTTTTATCACCAGAGATTATTTTTTTCTCTCTCTCTGTGTCCAGCTTCTTTCAATCATCAGAACTCTAGTGAGATTTGTCCATATTATGTGTGAGAAGTAAATTACTTGTTCTTATTGCAATTTATTGCTTTTTTAGGCATAAAAACTGTAACAGAAATACTTTTAACAGGAAAAAGAAACATGAGAAGTCAATGCTTTCAGCCACTGGTCCCCAGACACCAGCAACCCAGCAATCTCAGTGGAAAGAACAAACACTCACAGGTTCAAATCCAGACCTGGCTGGCCACTCACCTTTCCAGAGAGTGTTATGTCACACCGTGAGCCTCTTTTTCTCTTGGAAATAGATGCTTGGTGCTGCAAAGAAAAATTAGTACTGAGACAAAGGATTTTTTAGCAACACAATTTTTACTTCCTGGACTGCAGGAAGGGTACCCTCGCTTGCTATCATGCCATGAGAGTACAATGAACAAAGGAAAGCACACAAATTTATCCCTTAAGCATTTCGGGTTGTCCTTATTGCTATGTCTGATCTCCTTTGGCTAGAACTAGAACTCACAATCTAAACTAAAACTCGACTGGCTAACAACTTGAAACTTTTCCAGATAGGTTTTTAAAAAAAAAAAAAAAAAAGCAATGGCGAGCTGGTACATGGCTGTAAGCATGTCCAGCACAGATATCTTGGTTAAACTACAAGGACACAGAATGTATTACGTACCTGTAAGCATGGTATGTCTAACAGCTACATAGGATAGGGCTTAACAGAGAGCTACTAGCACACTTACTGTTTAACAAGAAAGGAAACTTTAAAAATGAAATTTCCTACTTCCCACATTTGCTTACTCTGAAAAATGGTGATCTTCATAGCTCCATGTGCAGGCACTGGTGGCTTCCACCCAGATGTCCTTGTGTTCTGTTTATTCCTGCTCAATGTTGATCTGCTGCCCTTGGGTTACTAAAGCCTTTTACAGGCACAGATGGACCACAGGTGCCTGGGAGTTTATTTATTCTGAGACTCAAGGCCCACAGCCAGTGACCGGTGGGCGCAGGGATATGGAACGCCAGCTTTCTGGCATCCAGGGGAGGTGCATTCTACCCTCCAGGGTTCCCTGCAGAGTTCCCTGCAGGAGCAAACTCAAGCTCCCCTACAAAGGTCGCAGCCCGAAATCACGCTCTTTTGGGATTCTTTCCTTCTCCACCCCCTCCCCTTTTCTTCTGTTAGTTTCCCCTGGGAGTTCTTACTTGATAAGTCACATACACAGGAATTGTTTTTTTTTTTTTTTTAAGACAGGCTGGAGTGCAGTGGTGTGATCTCGACTCACTGCAACCTCCGCCTCCCAGGTTAAAGCGATTATCTTGCCTCAGCCTCCCAAGTAGCTGGGATTACAGACACAAACCACCATGCCCAGCTAATTTTTGTATTTTTAGTAAAGACAAGTTTTTACCATGTTTGCCAGGCTGGTCTCAAACTCCTGACCTCAGGTGATTCTCCCGCCTCAGCCTCCCAAAGTGCTGGGATTACAGGCATGAACCACCACGTCCAGCCATAGGAATCTTTATATAGGGTCCACTTCTAGGGAACCTGGCCCCACGTGCCCTAAGGGTTGTTGCGAGGCAAACAGGAACAGCTGTGTATAATCACGTGGCACCAATAGGTGCTTACACCTGTTAAATATGTTCCTCATATCAACAGCAGGTGGCTTTACTCTGCAGCCACAAGCCTACAATCATAAAATTCCCCAGGGTTAGAAGGAACCATAAACGTCCTGGACTCCTGGAGTCCTGAATTACTTAAATCATTCTTATCTCTCCCTGAAGAGTATTACAGTGGCTTCTAAATGAAATAACCAGGGACAGCCTTCTCCCCCCAAAACTCTAGCTTTATTGCACTACAATCAGCGCAACCATCGTGGGTGGAGATGAAACTGTGAAGAGTGGATATTAAAGACACTGGCTGCTCTGAACGTCCCCAGATCGGCAGCCAGATTACTGGCCTGGGCAGCACCTGCACCCTCTCCATCCTACCCTGGCTGGCTGGAGGAGGCTCTGTCCTTGGGCAACAGTGGGTGCCCCACGTAAAGGAGCTAGCACCCACTTATCCTGGGAAAGAGGGCTTCCTGCACCATAAACTAAAAGTGCAGAAAGATGTTAAAAATAGGAAGGAAAAACATAGCAAACATGGAATTATCTCTTTTCTTTAAAGAAGAAAAGGAAGAAAATTCGTTTTATCTGAATAATCGGTGGCATTGATCTGTCTTCTAAGAGCAGGCTTTAGACTTGTTTCCCTCAATAGGAAGCAAGCATGGGGGCCAGATACTGACAGGAAGCAGTTCCTTCATATTAATAGTTGTCATTTATGTGCCACACACTCCTCTAAGTGTTTAACAGTCTTTGAAAGAGCTATGTTCATCTTCGATTTGCAGATGAGGAAACAGAGTCGCCAAGGAGGTTATTAGCTTAACTCTGAAGCCATGCAGCAGGTGGTAACAGAGCTGAGGCTCAAACTCCATTCTGTCTGCTCCTAAGGCTATCCTGTTAAGCAGAGGTATGGCCAGGAATTTGGATTCAAAACATGTTTTGGTTTCCTTTAGTTTTACTGCAAACCGGGTGGCTTAAAACAACATAAATGCTTCTCGTAGTTCCTGAGGCTAAAATCCCTCCTTGTATCTTTCTAGCCCTGGTGGGGGCCAGCAGTCCTGGGCTTGTAGCAGCACCACTCCAGCTCTGCCCTTATGGTCACACAGCATTCTCCATGTGTGTCTGTCTTGTATCATCCTCCCTCTTCTTATTAGGACAGCAGCCCTACTGGATTAAGGGCCCACCCTATTCCAATGTGACCTCATCCTAACTAATTATATCTGCAAAACCCTATTTCTAACGGAGGTCACATTCTTAGATACTGGGGGTAGGACTTCAGTATGTGTTTTGGGGGAACATGATTCAACCCATAACAAGCAGCCAGAAACTCAGTTTTTTTTTTTTTCCTTTTTTTTTTTTTTTTTTTACATGCAGTTTTGTTCCTGTCACCCAGTCTGGAGTCCAATGGCACAATCTTAACTCACTGCAACCTCCACCTCCCAAATTCAAGCAATCCTCCTGCCTCAGCCTCCTGAGTAGCTGGGATTACAGGTGCACACTACCATGCTCAGCTACTTTTTGTATTTTTAGTTAGGATGGGGTTTCACCATGTTAGCCAGGCTGGTCTCAATCTCCTGACCTCAGGTGATCCACCCACCTCGGCCTACCAAAGTGTTGGGATTATAGGCATGAGCCACCACACCAGACCCAGAAACTCAGTTTCTAAACAAGAAGATTCAGAGAAAGAGAGGAGGGGCTTGTTCTCCTCCCTCACAGAGGGACCCCTGGTCAGGCACTCAATGCCTTTGATCTTAAGTCTCCATCTCTGTCTTTGTTCACCTGCTGCTAAGGAGATGGCTCCAGAAGAAGAGGCTAGCTCAGCACTGCAACAGGAATAAGGAAGAGCATGGGGAGGAAGTTCAAGCTTCAAAATGTGGTGCCCTGTCAGTTGCTGTATTCTGGAGCAAAACTCTATGACCCATCCTGGTTAAGACTCTACTCATAAAATACTTCTTCCAGGTAGGGTCCTTGACTGGAAGCATGGAAACCAACTCTGGATGACTTTAACTGAAATGAAATCTATTTTGTAGCTAGGATCTAGCTCAGTCGATAGCCAAGGAGGCTGGGGGGATCAGCTTAAACAGTGGCCAGGAGCAAGGGATTTCTAAGAGATGACCATAATCAGAACCAACCAGTCCAATGCAGACATTAGTGCCACTGAGCCTTGTCCCGGTGCCATGGGCCCCCAGCCCTGCTGCTGGTAGGACTTTGACATTACTACTGCTACCACCACACTGCCAGCAAAAATTCTCTACGGCCCCTGACTTTTCAGGCCACTGGCTCCAGATTCATAGTCATTGGTTGAGCTTGAGTGTAGCACACCCATCTAAGGACTCGCTGCAAGGGAGTCTGGGAAAGTGTGAGTCTATCTTTTTGAGCCTTAATAGAGAAAGACAGCCACCGCCTCCTCCTACCACGGGTCATACACTGAACAGTTACACAGATATAGGAAGGAGGTTCAAATGTTAGGCAAACAATGCAAAGTTGGTTTTCAGGGAAGATTCCATCTTTGTATCCAGGAACAAAGGTAGATGGCAGGTGTCAGGGCCAAATCTGCTAAAAAGAGAGTTCACAGCTCACAGACTGGAGAGATTGGTACCAGAGGTCTCTGACTGGCCACAGAAACAAAGCATAGATTAGAGGTTGCCATGGGCTACAGATGGGGGAATGGGAAGCGGCTGCTTTTTAAGGAGACAAAAATGTTCTGTAATTAGGCTGTGCAGATGGTTGAGGTGATGGTGATTGTGGTGATGGACATTGTAAATATACCAAAACCACTGAATTGTACACATTAAAGGGCTGAATTTTATGTTACACGATTTTATCGCAATAAAGAGGTTTCAGAGGGGTAGCCAGACCCCTCGAGTTCAAGTTCACAGAGAAAGAGGATTCCGTCATCAAAAACTAATGCAATGGGCACCGGAGTTCCATTAAATTCTGCATAAGAATGATTCAATTTGATGGACCTGTGCTGGTCTATGGGAATGGAATCAGTGGGCCAAATTTGTCAGTAGCCCCAAATCTCCCACTTTTTTATGACTCCATGTCTTTGCTTGCTGAGTCACAAGGAAGACATACATTCTTCGTTATTTCTGCCCAGAATCACTGGAAGACAATGCCTAGTGCTGATGGGTTTTCCACCTGAGATAGAAGCTTTGTTGTTTTAAATGAACTTGTCTTGGGGCGGTAGGGGACACAGAATACAGAACCAGAATATGAATGATATTCGGTGCCGTAGAGCCTGTGGTGCCTATGCCAGCGACTGCTCACTCAATCCTCTCCCCATTCCGTGAGGTGGGTTTGTAGGCATTGAGGGTGATGGAGCAAACAATGTTTGACAAACAATGCAAAGTTGGTTTTCAGGGGGAAAAAAAGTAGTGAGGTAAGACGGAGTGAACTATTGAATGAGCTAGAAGGGACTCCATAGTTAGCTCCCTTTTTGCAGATGAGAAACTGAGCCACAGAGAAATTGTGTGATTGACATCTGGGCCATCTCCTTCAGAATTCTCAACCAATCTTCATTACCACATCTGCCACGGGCATATATATTCAAGGATGTGGCATGCCATGGGAGTAAGTAAGGTGGTAAAAGTGCAAGGAGAAGAGCAGAGATAAGGGGGACTTCCTGTAGGAAAGACCAAATAACTTTGAAGGAGAGAAGAGCTCAGTTTCCCTTTTTTAATTTTGGGGGCATGCCTACCCAAACCTTTAGCCAAGTCTGCTGTAGAAACAAAGATCTTGTGTAAGCAGAGTTTCTTGTTTTTCGTTTTTGGCAAGAGGTGGTTGATTGGTTAATAAAAAAAGATAAGTTTCACATTTGGATCAGGGCTGGCAGAAATAAAGGAACAGAGATGAGATGTAGAGATGGGAACTTCCTAACAGAAGCCATAAGTCAGATCTAAATGTGAACTTGAGGTGGTAAAACCACCTTGGAATTCACAGCAATTGCAGCTACTCATAACTAGATCTTAAGGGGTGGGGAAGACCCCGTCATTATGTGGATTCTACATTTTTTACCTCCTATATTAGGCTTTGAGGCTTTTCAGGATCCAAATTGGATTCATCTTCAAAGTTCCACTAGCACATTGTAGGGACTCCATAACTGTCTGCTGAATTAATACACACAAGGAGAGGTTTCTGGTGCATACATCATTACGTAAGTCAGAAACTGTATTTACCTACAAGTAAAAGACCAGATTTCAGTGTTTACATAGATGAGAAATTGAAAGGTGGGCACAGAGTCTGCTGTATGTCACAATGTCACCAATGTGCTTCTGTCATTCTGTTCTTCATCTCTTTCAAACATCCCCACAGTCCCAAAGTGGCTGCTGTATCTCCAAAGCACACCCACCACTCCCATCCTTCCCCCTTAACCACACCCCCACTTCTCCCACCCTTCTTACCTCCTCCGTGACCTCCCCCTCCCCCCTCACCTCCTCTCTCATCCTTCTCACCTCCTCCAGTTCTCATGGCTCCCCCCACACCAGCTCCTTCTGAGAGCCTGGTCCTTGTCTTCCCCATGTTCTTCCAACCCCATGTTCATGTCTAGAAGAAGAAAAGGAAAGAGACCAGTGGTTTTCTCTAAGCCAGACTTTACTTGAGATGGAAAGCCTTTCCAGGAACCTCTGGCTACATTTTACCAGCCAGAACAGGCCAGGTGGAGGGAGGCAAGGTAGAAGGGAGTTGATATAGAGGTGATAAGAAAGAGAGGGTCTTGACCTTCCTTACATCCCGGCTGGGGATGTATCTGAAATGTAAGCATTTTTTATATCATTGCAAGAGTGACAATGGATATGAAGGAGAATGACAAGCACCTGCAAATGAGGAAACTGAGGTTCCGAGAGATGAACCTGCCTTAAATTACACAGCTGGGATTCTAGGGGACTTAGAAGCCCCTTGCTGCTGGGAGGGCACACAGCAGCAGCCTCTCCTCTTCTTCCGTTCTCCAGGTTCCTTCCAGTGAGGTCTGCGTTTGTTCTTTCTCAGAGGCCAGGCCAAGCCAGAACTCACAGGCAAAGCCCTTGGTCTCGCAGCAAAGTCTTACATCAAACAAATTAAAGGCCTCTCAGCTCTGCAACTCTGCTCCTGCCTTCCAGCCAGGGATGGAGGGATGATGCTGGGGCCACCAGGACCCTGAGTCATCGCTGCGGGGGCAGCTCTGGATAGGGCATCAGTAGACCTCGGGCAGCCCCTGGGTACCAGGGACCTGGCCTGGGAAGGACCTGCATTACTAAGGATTCACACCACCTTCCCCTCCCCCTGGACACCCTGCCGTGGTGGCTCAGGTCACAGACTGGACCGGGCCCCTCTGCCAGCCTTCCCCCGACTTCACAATGCTGTATTATCAGAAACCATGAGGTGTACAGCAGAGTGGGCAGGGAATGACTCTCCATGACTCATTTCGAAGGACCCAGAGTCAGCGTGAGAGGGGGTGGAGGTCAAATCCAGTAGCAGCTCAGAGGAGCCACCACCAGCTGTAAAAATAGGTTTCATATCACAGTCTGGTACATCCATCTGCAGATAAGCATGCAGCATAGAAACACATATGCAGCAGCCCCTCCCTTCACTACGTGCAATAAAGTGTGGTCCTATTCTACTTCCTTCCTTCCCTCCTTCCTTTCCTTCCTTCTTTCCTTCCTTCCTTTTTTCCTTCCTTCCTTCCATTCTCTCTCTCCCTCTCCCTTTGATAAACGCTGGTTGGTTGAGACCACAAAAATAATGTCATGATACCTTGAGGGGAAACCTGCTGCTAAATTACGGTGACTTAGCATATTGGATTTGCAACACAACTGAACTGGGTTTGAACTTGCTAGTGTGTGAACAAAGCCAAATGACTCAGCCTCTGGCATTGCACGACTTTTCTGAACCACTAACACCATGATTCCAGTTCCTGACCTTTCTTCTGGTCCACACCACGACCTCCAGCCTGACCTCTGTAAAATGCACCCGGACCTGGCGGCTGCACTTTCCCGCTGCATGCACTTTCCACCTGCAGCCTGGCAGTCCTTGTCCACACACTTCATGCATTCTCTCTGATCTCAATAAAAAGACAAAGTTCCCACCTTGGCTGGAATCCTGCCCGCCTTTCCCACCCTCCCCACTCGGCCTCACCCCCACCGTCCACACTGAACCCCACCCACCACTACACCCTCCACACTGAACCCCACCCACCTCTCCATCCTCCACACTCAAGCCCACCCCACCACTTCACCCTCCACACTCAAGCCCACCCCACCTCTCCCACCCTCCACACTCAAGCCCACCCC